TCTCTCTCTAAATTTTTTTACAAAAATATATATATATATATATATATATATATATATATTATTTTTCATAATAGTAACAACAAAGTTTTAACTTAAACTATCTAAACTCCCACCATTGGACTAATTTTAATGGGTTATATTTTATTGCTGCGTTAGTTCTTCATAATTAAGGTTTAATTTATTAAAATGTAAAATCTTGTACCTTGTAGATCTAATTTGTTATTAATTTAAATTCTCAAAGATTTTCATTGTTAACCAAATTAAAATTTTAAATCATTATCAAGTGACAGTAAAATTTCCTGATGATAAACTCAAATTTTCTAAGATAAAAGTTTAGTGTGAATAAGTGTTCTGCTTCATAATTATTCATCTATATCATTATATAATTATTATATAAAGATGTTATCTTTTTCGATAATTGTTTGGTTTCTATTTTTATATCTCCTTTTTTATTTTACTTAGAAATCTAAGTTGTTATTTCTCTCTTAATACCTTTTTGTCTCAAATCGTTTATTCTAATTACTTAATTATTTCCAAAACTTATTATTTTTACTTATAAAAAATAAATAGAAATGTAAAGTGATTCGCCTCCGTCTCCGCTAATAATAATTAATGTTTAAATGTTATTATTATTATTAGTTTTTTCATTGATTGATGCTATTCATTTGAATGTTATAACTCCAAACTCAGACTTATGAATCATATAACTCCGAACTTCAATTCATTCTCAAATCATTAATGGAAAATGTGGTGAATCGAAACATGCAACAGAGGCTACTGTGTGTTACTATATAATGGATTATGGACGGTGAGGATTCAATCTTACGATTACGTATATTTGGAATCTTCACTTGTTATTTCATTTGATGAGTTTCATTCTATTAAAAAAATTCATTTTTAATATATCATGAATATTTTAAAAAGGTTTAAATATGTTTTTTTTCCCTCAAATTTAGGATAAATCTATTTTTGATCTCTTAAATTTAAAATTGTTGTTTTTAGTCCCTATAATTTCAAAAAAAAAATCTTATTATAATCTTTATATTCAAATTTTGTTAAGAAATTTATCAAATATTATTGCATAAAATTTACCTATTGATGTTCCTATTAGTGAAAATATCACATTAAATTCGGTTGATATTGCATAACTGTCTTAATTAGTCACTTTCAAATATGTTATTGATAACCTAAGGGACTAAAACAAGATTTTTGAAAATTATAGGGACTAAAAATAATATTTTTAAATTTGAGATACCAAAAACAAATTTGTCTTAAATTTAAGGGACTAAAAATATATTTAAGTCTTTTAAAAAATTTACTTTTACATTTTATAATGATGTGTTGCAACTCTTTTAAATAATTTAGACACTTTTTTTAATTGCTTAATATACTAATAACGCATATCAAAAGATAGTGTAAAAATATTGAGTGTAATCACCTGTCGACAAATTGTTATATAATCTATTATTCAGCTATTATGCAGTGGAAAGATTAAATAAAATATATTTAGCTTATAATTTATCATGCAATCATTAACTAATATCATGTACACAATTATATGTAAGGAATAGAAAAAACATAATAGTTCTTGTACATACATATTATATCAAAATATACAATCGTGTGTAAAATGTACACTGAGTATCAGTCGATGGCTCTACAAATCCAAATTGTATTAGAGCAGTGATAACAAAAGAGAATTGACCATCCCTAGCATGTCCCTCCATAGTAAGATCAGGATAAGCTAACTTGCTAATCCTATCCAGTATAATCATTGCAATTTTAACTACAAGAAAAATATAAGATAAGCTTGTGTAAAAAATTCAACATATAATCAGAACTAAGCACCTTTCAATGATACAACATAATAAACTCATAAACAACCCTGTCATATCACAATACAACAACTCAGAACACCACTACAGTCTTAGCATAACAACTTAATCAACTTCAACACAACAACACTATAATTACATCTAATGTGTCATCATACATATCAACTATGAAAATCTCTTACAACACAAGTAAACAGTTTAAGTGGTTATATCCTATTGAACCATAACATGTGACCTATCTCAATTAGGTCAGCTAATAACTCAATTTTATTTCTCAAGTTCGTCACTTAAACTAGGAGGTCTAATATTATAGTCAAGGTAAAACAATTTGGATATAAGCCAACTACGACATTTTCTTGCATCACTAAGTCATTTATGGGATTAGCCCACTAACTATCCTCCAAGTACTATGCCCCTCCAATATTAGGTTAGAGACTAAGTCCTTGACCCAATATTTTACTCGATTGGTTGCTTTATACACATGTGATCGACCTTACCCACATACAGATACCACATAAATCCTAGAGGAGACAACATACATCTTACCATTCAACAATCAACTCACATATTAAAGTTTTTTCAACACTTGGGCTCTTGAAGCGCCACATATCATATCCTCATAATAAGATATTTAGTTTTCGAAGTCATCATTTACTCTTCTCTAATTTTTATGTATCTTAAATAGGACATGCTTTTCAATTACATGTTTAACAACTCAACAACTTAAACAACTCAATGACATGCAACTTTACAACATAATCATCTATCAACTCACAACATTACAACATATCTTAAACTATTCAAACCACTTAAAAAATTAACTTTCATCATGTAACTTGTGCCCGATGCCACTCATAGGATGTCTGACATTATTGAGGCAAAGGGACTCCTTATCTCACCCACGTCCGACATGGTTGTGACAAAGAGTCTCCCACTCCCTAGCACCTAGCATGGTAAAGCTCATGTTCAACCCCAATTAGGTAAAGGGTCTTTACCTAACTCACACTTGACATCGTTAAACCCATGTTTGCACGTAATTCCAACCCGAAACAATTCTCTCTCCTCACGCTCGATGCAATTGATCCTACATCTAATGTGAGTAAGATAAAGACACCTCTTTAGAGTCTCCCCAACATCTTGAAGGCACCCTCGATGTGATATCAATTTTGCACTTATACAAATACTAATTTTTTGCAATCTACCTAAAGTTCAGAAAATTCCCAACTTGAATTGTAACACAATACATATAATAAGCATCATGGGTAACTCAAAAGGAAGGTAAAAAATCAACATGCATCCATCTCATGATAAGAATATTTTCCCTTTCCCTTCAAGTGCTTCAAGAAAATCCCAACATTTCATACAATTTCATCAGTTTAATTATTCAATTCATCATAACAACCAACAATCAACTCATTTTAGCAACACAACCACACAATGCACAAAAGAATTCAAAATCACATCTGCCTCCACCTTTTGAAGAACCAATCTATAAGAGGAAGAAAATTTCTTCATACAACTCCAAAGTAGGATTTTAGCTCCACAAGCTTTGATTTCACACTCAACTACCTTGAATTAACTATAAGGAGGAAATGGAGGAGAGTTCTCACTTAGAAGGGAAAATAATTCTTGAGTTTTTAAGAGAAAACTTTCACTAACTCTCTTTAGATTTTTCTAAGACTAAAACTTATGAAATCTTGATTTTAAAAAAATCTTAAATATCATTATCAGATTAACCAAACTCACTACGTGATATACATTCACATAACTAAAATAAATAACTCAAAATAATAGTATTACATTGAGTAAATAATATTAATAATATAAAATATTTGTACATTATTATATAATATCACAAATAGATTTATTAATTTTTATATTAACTATCTTAATATATTATTTGAAAGCAATGAGAACGGAGGGACGGATTAATAAAGGAGAGAAAAAGACAACTACTTTAATTGCTCCATCATTTGGAATCAGTCACAGTGGAAAGAGTAAAAATTTGA